GTAGCATGGGTGGTAGTTATTCCAAGTTTTGAAAGAAGAAGGAAACCCTCCTTCTGTAACTGATTGTTATACAATGATATAGAAACGACATGTTGTAAAGCATTCAGGGTTACAGAACGACTATGAAACAAAACGGAACATGCTGCCGTAACTTTAATTTTGTCACTTTCTGATTTCTTGTTTTTCCCAATTCCTGAAAGCAGTTGCCATGTTAATGGGGTTTCTTGTTCATATTCCCTTTGTAGTTCCAGAATTTCAAACTCGGAGAGATTTTTTTTTTTTTTTTTTTAATTTTTTATGTGTTATATCACATATTTTTTTTATAAGGTACATGTATATGATATCGTAATACCTATATGTCAAATATAATGATGATGTACATTAGTTTTGTAGTAATATACACAACGTTTCTAGTTTCAATATTGTATGGCATACATGGAGTATGACACAATTTAAAGAACAATATCTGAAAAGACAATAACGTTTTGCATCATTGGAATTGTAGAAACAAACAATATATGCCAAATATGTTTCAGAATAAAATGTTTGTAATATCTGAGGAATTGCCCATGTATGGTATGTATACATTTAAGAGTAAATATGAGAAACTAATGATGTACAATATGCAAATACTTTTGGTTAATTCACAGGGATATATCTGAAGAAATATCAATGTGTGGCTTGAGAACTATTAATATATATAGGACACATACGTATTATACAAATTGTAAGACAAATTCACACAACAATGTCTCAAGAACTGTAAATGAATGTACCACACAAACATTATGGGGCGAATTTACGTAACAATATCTTATATCTGATAATACAGTTTATTACATACATGTACCTACTAATATATACGGGGATTTTGTATATGTGACATGACACAATTGCTCTAACCCATATCAGCCCTCGCCGTATCACACCCCAAAACCTGTATCAGCCCGCAAAACCCATATCACACCCCTTTTGGAAAAAAACTCGCTTTTCAATATTTCAAAAATAAAAATTAATCATAAGATAGTAGTTTTTATTAGTAATTATGTAATAAACAGAATAAAACCCGCCTTTTTCCATATCACCCCCAGTATCACCCCGAGACTGCAATATCCGCCCTCGGGCTGATATTGTAGTCTCGGGTTTATACTGGGTGTGATATGGAAAAAGGCATGTATTATTCTCTATATATCGCATGCATAATCTTTGTGATGAATGTGAAGAACTTAAGATATATGTGATAGAGGGATTAATAATATGTATCCATATTTAACTCTGTATCTGGAACGCAATGTTGGCAACCTTCGATAAGTTGTATCGTGGTATGTAAGAAGAAACAAAGGTACCGGAAAACTACAGTATGTATGACACTGCAGGTGCCATGGTCTATTTCATATTATATACTACTAACTTGAAATAAATCCATTTAAGACTGTTGGAAAGAAAATATTCATCAGATCATAATAATAATCTAAATAAATAGAGAATGATACATGCCTTTTTCCATATTACACCCTGTATCAACCCGAGACTGCAATATCAGCCCAAGGGCCGAAGGCCCGAGAGCTGATTTAAGTCGAGGGTTGATACTGGGTGTGATATGGAAAAAGTGATGTTTTATTCTGTTTATTACATACTTACTAGTAAAATATACTATCTTATGATTTATTTTTATTTTTGAAATATTGAAAAACGAAAAAAAATCAAAAAGGGGTGTGGAAAAAGTCATGATTAATTCTGTTTATTACATACTTACTAATAAAAGCTACTATCTTACGATACAGTTTTTCTTTTGAAATATTGAAAAACGAAAAAAAATCCAAAAGGGGTATGATACGGGTTTTGCGGGCTGATACAGGTTTTAGGGTGTGATACGGCGGGGGCTGACACGGCTTTTGGGGTGTGATACGGCGAGGGCTGATATATGTAAGAGCAATTGTGTCGTATCGCATATACAAAAAACCCGTATTTATTAGTAAGTATGTAATAAAGGTTACTTATTACACGTTATGCATCTTAACGTCTTGTTCTGTCATTTTACTAAAAGGTCAATCAACACTGATAACATCCGAAACTACTCATCATTAAAATATGTAATATACTTTGATTTTTGTGTGTGCCATTATGACAATTATTTGGGGCATTGATTTGATTGAGCTACTCCGAGACTCGTACCCTGTAGACGTGTTTGAAGTGGCCCGTACTATTCAATTAGATGGCCCAGTTATTTATATTTTATCGTTAATGTATATTGATAAATCATTCTAAATGGTGTATTCTAAAGTGGGTCTTTATTAATCATGCATTAAGATTTAATGTTAAAGATACATGTATAAAACATATGTTACTAGGTTTTCGTTTACATTAGCATATATATTAGCTAAGTCACTACTTTAAAATTGTCCGTTACACATTAAATTGCCATTGATAATACATAGGAGACTTATAAATGGCCCATTGCACTATCCAGTTAAAATCATAACATTAAATGTTTACGCTGTGGTGTAATTTTGTTGCATTTCGTCTTGGATACGATCTGTCTATGTCTGTCCCTTACAAATAAACACATTTGCTACTGAACCTCATGAAATTTTCTAAAAAAAAACATTATATATTTTCTCGCACATTTTTTTTTACCTATTGACGGTATGCAAGATATATGTATATGCATGTCTAATCTAAACATGTATCTTACGACCGTGCTCAATAGACCTACAAAGTGCATTAACACTTCTACGCAACAAGTAATAATGTGTTTTGCTGTAAGATGTCCATGATTTTCAAAAAAATATCCCCACTAAAACATATGTAAATTATTTCACAAATGGTAATTAAGACTGGTTTTGTTCAATATTAGATGATTTTTTGGAGATAACAAAAATTACAAACAGAGTATATAAGGGAGGTAACTTAACAACGATTGTAAGAATGATTAAGAAAAAATAAACCTTACAAATGTTATGTTTAATGTGTAAGGGAGATGCATTGCAACACAAATCATAAGCCATAAGTTAAGATAGATAAGGAGGTAAGACAGATCTGAAGTATATTTTGTAAGAAAGATAATACAAATCACAGGTATAATGTGTTCAGAATGATAATTAGTTTGACCTAAGTAAAACTGGACAAGCCTTGTATACACATAGACACATTATGTACTCAAATATATTTTGTAAGAAAGATAATACAAATCACAGGTATAATGTGTTCAGAATGATAATTAGTTTGACCTAAGTAAAACTGGACAAGCCTTGTATACACATAGACACATTGTGTAGTACATTTATGTAGAACGTTATACATATTTATATATGAAAGTCTGTATTTGTACACTATGTTGTGATATATTTTTCAGCAAATTATATTTTGGTGGCAGTTGACTCTACTTCTAGACTGGACGGAGGCATATACATTTATCCGGGCGACGGTGACAGTATTAACGCTTCCACCCCCTCCCCAGGACTCACCACGGTAGGGATGGCGAGCATCGATATAAATAGCATGGATGTCAACATAGCGGAAGGAACCGTCTACCTCGTAGACCATGAAACAGAGTGCATTTACCGTTTATCGATTGACACTAATAATGTAACAACTGTTCGTCGTGGTGTGTCCCGATCAGTGATAAAAAATACAATTTGTGAATTTGAAAAAATAAAATATATACAGTAACAATTTTGGAGTTGTTACTTTATTAAATGGTGGCAATTTGAACACCTTGGTCACGAAATGTCAACATCACATGAAAACATGGAAATCATTTAAGAATGTTTGAGGTTAATTTATTACAATGTAGGTCAAACAAACTAGAAACATTAAATGTATGTAATTGTTACTGTATATATTTTATTTCTTCAAATTCACCAATTGTATTTTTTATCTTAATAAATTAATATATATATATGTACAATCCATACATATAGATTTGAGTCATCAATTGAAAATGTTTAAGAAAACATATACCAAATATATACTTGTATGGGTATCAACACCTATCAGTGTCTCGACCTAACCCTCCCACTTCTCCTATCAGAGTTACCGATATCTTTCTAATTATATCGTCCCTGTGTCTCAGAATTTTCTGAAGCTTCCCATCTCATTATTCTGAATGTTGATAGCATCCCTATTTCTAAGTGCCAGAGCCTCCTATCTCTCTATACTTAGTGATCAATGTGTAGTTTATATAGCATTCCCTATCAGATGCAGGTATCTCTAACTGCCTGTTGTAGACTGTAGACTCTAAACTCTCTTCACTAACTCAGTTTTGTATAGCATCCCTGCTGTTGTTCATGTCTCTATCAGTCTAGACATAGACTGTAGCCTCTAATCTCTGGAATAAGTGACCCAGACATCTTTCTTATAATGTCCCTGTGTCTGTATCTACCTGTGTTACTCTGTAGCCTCTAATCTCTGGAATAAGTGACCCAGACATCTTTCTGATAATGTCCTTGTGTCTTTATTTACCTGTGTTACTCTGTAGCCTTTATCTCTCTAGACTAAGTGACCCAGACATCTTTCTGATAATGTCCTTGTGTCTTTATTTACCTGTGTTACTCTGTAGCCTTTATCTCTCTAGACTAAGTGACCCAGACATCTTTCTGATAGCGTCCCTGTATCTCTTACTGCCTGTGTTAGACTGTAGCCCCTATCTCTCTAGACTAAGTGACCCAGATATCTTGTTGATAACGTCCCTGTATTTCTAACTGTCTGTGTTAGACTGTAGCCCCTATCTCTCTAGACTAAGTGACCCAGACATCTTGTTAATGACGTCCCTGTATTTCTAACTGTCTGTGTTAGACTGTAGCCCCTATCTCTCTTGACTAAGTGACCCAGACATCTTGTTAATTACGTCCCTGTATCTCTATTATATTGTGAATTAAAAATGATACCGAAATCAATTAACAAAATTTATCGAGTTTTGTAAAAATTTGTATTTTAGAAAATGTGGAATTAAAATACAAATAAGATGCAGCAAAAATATAGAATAGAATTAAAACATATAACAAATGAGATAACACAATAAAAGTATCACACAATCCAAAATGTCAGGTGGCAGAGGTAACCAGGGCAACTGCCTGTGTTAGACTGTAGCCCCTATCTCTAGAGCTAGACTTAGTGACCCAGATATCTTGTTGATAACGTCCCTGTATTTCTAACTGCCTGTGTTAGACTGTAGCCCCTATCTCTCTAGACTAAGTGACCCAGCTATCTTGTTGATAACGTCTCTGTATTTCTAACTGTCTGTGTTAGACTGTAGCCCCTATCTTTCTAGACTAAGTGACCCAGACATCTTGTTAATGACGTCCCTGTATCTCTAACTGCCTGTGTTAGACTGTAGCCCCTATCTCTCTAGAATAAGTGACCCAGACATTTTTCTGATAATGTCCCCGTGTCTTTATCTACCTGTGTTACTCTGTAGCCCCTATCTCTCTAGACTTAGTGACCCAGACATCTTTCTGATGATGTCCCTGTGTCTTTATCTACCTGTGTTACTCTGTAGCCTTTATCTCTCTAGACTAAGTGACCCAGACATCTTTCTGATAATGTCCTTGTGTCTTTATTTACCTGTGTTAGACTGTAGCCTTTATCTCTCTAGACTTAGTGACCCAGACATTTTTCTGATAATGTCACTGTGTCTTTATCTACCTGTGCTACTCTGTAGCCTTTATCTCTCTAGACTAAGTGACCCAGACATCTTTCTGATAATGTCCTTGTGTCTTTATTTACCTGTGTTACTCTGTAGCCTTTATCTCCCTAGACTAAGTGGCCCAGACATCTTTCTGATAAGGTCCCTGTGTCTTTATTTACCTGTGTTACTCTGTAGCCTTTATCTCTCTAGACTAAGTGACCCAGACATCTTTCTGATAATGTCCTTGTGTCTTTATTTACCTGTGTTAGACTGTAGCCTTTATCTCTCTAGACTTAGTGACCCAGACATTTTTCTGATAATGTCACTGTGTCTTTATCTACCTGTGTTACTCTGAAGCCTTTATCCCTCTAGACTAAGTGACCCAGACATCTTTTTGATAACGTCCCTGTATCTCTAACGGCATGTGTTAGACTGTAGACCATATCTCTCTAGACTAATTGACCCAGATATCTTTCTGATAACATCCCTGTATCTCTTACTGCCTGTGTTAGACTGTAGCCCCTATCTCTCTAGACTAAGTGACCCAGATACCTTGTTAATGACGTCCCTGTATTTCTAACTGCCTGTGTTAGACTGTAGCCCTATCTCTCTAGACTAAGTGACCCAGATACCTTGTTAATGACGTCCCTGTATCTCTAACTGCCTGTGTTAGACTGTAGCCCCCATCTCTCTAGACTAAGTGGCCCAGACATCTTTCTGATAATGTCCCTGTGTCTTTATCTACCTGTGTTACTCTGTAGCCCCTATCTCTCTAGACTAAGTGACCCAGATATCTTGTTAATAAGGTCCCTGTATTTCTAACTGCCTGTGTTAGACTGTAGCCTATATCTCTCTAGACTTAGTGACCCAGATATCTTTCTGATAACGTCCCTGTATCTCTTACTGCCTGTGTTAGACTGTAGCCCCTATCTCTCTAGACTAAGTGACCCAGACATTTTGTTAATGACGTCCCTGTATCTATATCTGCCCATGTTAGTCTGAAGCCCCCATCTCTCTCTGGACTTTGTGACCCAGACATCTTTTTGATAACGTCCCTGTACCTCTAACGGCCTGTGTTAGACTGTAGCCCCTATCTCTCTAGACTAAGTGACCCAGACATCTTTTTGATAACGTCCCTGTATCTCTAACAGCCTGTGTTAGACTGTAGACCATATCTCTCTAGACTAATTGACCCAGATATCTTTCTGATAACGTCCCTGTATCTCTAACTGCCTGTGTTAGACTTCTCTCTAGACTAAGTGACCCAGATACCTTGTTGATGACGTCCCTGTATTTCTAACTGCTTGTGTTAGACTGTAGCCCCCATCTCTCGGGACTTAGTGACCCAGATACCTTGTTAATGACGTCCCTGTATTTCTAACTGTCTGTGTTAGACTGGTAGCCCCTATCTCTCCAGACTAAGTGACCCAGATATCTTGTTAATGACGTCCCTGTATCTCTAACTGCCTGAGGTTCTCATTAGCCTCAAGTCTTTCCAACTGCCCACAGGACTGGACAATATCGGTCAAGGCTTGATGGACATCTTTGGCCATGTGTCTGGTATCACCACACACATACAGGTGGCCATTTCTCTGTAAGTAAAAGCATGTTGCTGTCATGTAGCCTTTATCTCTCTAGGCTAAGTGACCCAGACATCTTTTTGATAACGTCCCTGTATCTCTAACTGCCTGAGGTACTCATTAGCCTCAAGTCTTTCCAACTGACCACAGGACTGGACAATATCGGTCAAGCCTTGATGGACATCTTTGGCCATGTGTCTGGCATCACCACACACATACAGGTGGCCATTTCTCTGTAAGTAAAAGCATGTTGCTGTCAGGCTAATAAGTATACAGTATACCTACTAGGGATTGTCACACGATCCTATCTTCTCCTACATATCATCACAGTATATGTCCAGGTATCAAACCCCCACATTATGGTTCCCTGACTTGTGCAGGGCTAGCAATTAATTTTGAATACCACGAGTCAATTAGTTATTTCAAATTTTTACTAGTCTATGTGTGAATTCCACTAATCCAATAAAATTCAACAAGATACACAATATCTGATTTTAACTTATCAAGCAGACTAGCGGTTTTTAGAACCACTAGTCCAGCTGGGGATTTCACTAGTCTTGGACTTTCGGGCAACCCTCATTGTCTGACCCTGACAAGGTTAAAATCACATGCACCACCATTAATAGAAATCATATGAGCAATAGATTTGTGGGATGTTTTTCCACACTTTTTTAGGGCCATGATTGATGAATGTAGCAAAAATGGTGATGTCTACATAACAAAAATACAGTAGTCATCATAATATCTAAACTTACTGCTGCCAATGATAGAGTGATAAAAAGATATCCATGAAGATAATCAAATATATGACATAAAAAAATGAAAAAATAAAATGCAATAAAATGAAATTTCAACAACAGGACCAAACAGTTTTCCTTTAAGTGTACAATTTCTTTGCATTTTTTTGAAAAATTACAAATTAGTAAAATGCTTAATTTGCCATTATCACAAACTACAAATGTTATCAGCTGTGTTCTGTTACCTTGGTAACCAGGTCCCAGACTTTGGCCCTATCCTCTCTCAGAAGGTCCTGAACATATACCTTCCTGGCCTGGTCCCGGGAGAATGCCACTCGAAGACAAATCAGGCCATCTCTGCTGTATTTCTCTAATATAATAGAATATGCAAATATATTAAAAAACTATAAGGCCTGCATTGCCCACCTGAACAGGACTAGGTTGAAATACTGGTCAAGGTAATTAATTTAGCCCTTTATGTAATTAAAGTATTAATAAGATACATATAACATAATGTTATTCTAGGCCTAACTGACCTCAACCCACACTGTAATGACTTTAAACAAAAATAAACAGTCTATAGAATCTCCTAGAAGAGATGAAATTTAAGTACTACAGACTCGTTGAGAAATTTTCTTTGACATTATATATATATATTTATTATACCTTCTGTTAAAATCTCGTAATCTGATTGGTTGAGAAGGATGTGAACATTTTCAATGTTACTTGCTCGTTTTACAAAGATAAAGAAGACAGGGTGTTATTCCAAAAAATATCACATGCGCCAAACGTATACGTGCACGGTTCGTCCCAGTGCCAGGGTGTTATTCCAAAAATTATTACATGCGCCGAATGTATGCGCGCCTGGTNGAGGCGAAGCCGAGGTCAACAATGCTTTCCGAGGGGTGAAAATATGCAATATCGCCCTCTCATGAATGTGATATTTATATAATATATATACCCACTCCACTAAGTATAACAATTTATTCATTCAAAAGGAGACTATTTTGTTTTACAGAGATTGTACAAAAAGTGTCTTACCCAGCTCCTCTTTGTATAAGAAATCCCCAGACTTATGTCTGCAGCCAAAATACAGGTGGATCTCCCCTTTGTCAGGACTGAGTTCTGAAGACAGTTTACAGTGATCTTTAATTTGATGGAAGGATGATGATGGTCCAAATTATCAATCTGACATTGACATGATTTTGAAGAGGCCAAAGAATTTATAGGTGTGTTACCTTATTTTATAAACTTTAATAATATTACATACAATAAATAAACATTTTAATTACAAAAGTTTTCATAATTATTGAAATTAATAAAAGACCACCTTAAAGAGAAAACGGGTGCATTTGAAAATTTGAGCTAATGGCCAATTAAGTAAAAGATACTTCAAACAACTGGCCCTAATTGGTCAAATGTATCATTTTTTTTTTATAAAAATCAGGTGGTCATTTAATAATGGTAAATATTTCTGATTACCAATGTAACTATTTTAGTGAAAATGAAAAACCAGCAAAGTCTCAAATTTAAAGGTTCTGTTTTGAAAATGAAGTACCAGTACATTGAAAGTAACTGAGGGCCACAAAGGACGGTATAAAACCACAAAAAAATCCTTTGAAAGTCTTCTTTAACTTATTCACCCCTGAAATTTCATGATGAACTATTCCAATCTTTGAATTGGACGAGTTCAATTGTGTTTCCAGGGGTAAATGAATTGAAGTCTGAAACTATATACAGGTCTTGGATGCTGTACCTCTTTCTTGTATGAATGCTCTGAAGGGGGCTATCCCTGTACCTGGGCCAATCAGAATCACCGGTGTGGTGTGTTTGTCAGGGAGGCGGAAGTCGGGGTTCCGGCTCATGAACACCGGGCTTGATTGACCGACCTGCGTACGGTCTAGTAGGTGTGAGGTGGTTACACCCTCCCGCCCTACCGACAGGGTCTTGTAACGCAGAACGGCTACCGTCACACAGACAGCGGTAGAGGCCTGGACATGAAAACATTTCACAGCATTATTATTTAAGTGCTTAGAAAGTAAAATGATTGACAGGGTTTTAGCACAAGCATTATCGAGGCATTATATTTTTAAAAAAGTTAATTACTAATGGATTTCCAGATTCAATACAAAAACTGATTCAACAAATTAAGTGATAGCAATAGGTAATGAGCTGTGTTTGAGAAATTAAGAGCCTTGCCCAAGGATTATGAACCTAAATCTTTTAACCATGATGATCGATAAAGATTTATATTCATATAAATGATTGGATTCTTTGGTGTAAACGACTCACTAAAGCTCACCATTTTAGTATATCATACTTAGAGCTAACTCACTCAAATGGACATAAATCATAATCAATTAAGAATACGGACCATGGTAGAACAGGCCATGGAATTGTTCACGGAATGTTGTCTCGTGACTTTCCCCATAAAAAATATAATTCATGGAAATATACACAAAAACATTGATACAATTTCCATAATTTAATCAATCAATATATTTAGTTCACATTTTATAATAGTCTTACATAAAACGGTGGATATTATTGAATTTTTATCTGCTTGCTAGTGCCGAGGGGAATAATGATCCGGAAGTGAATCTGACCTGTGGAGATACAAAATGTATCACTGCGCCAGTATTATGGTCTCATAACACGGAACTGGCTTTGGTAGTGTTATATAATAGCAATGAAGAGCAAATGTAAATATTCTTCTATAAACGTTCTCTTTGTTGATTTACTAGTTACCACTCGGCATGATGGATGAACCCTGAAGGACATTTGCAGATTTTGTCATCAGCATTTCACTTTCTGTCCACATTAATATTTCATACTGATGGAGATATTAGTAAAATTGAACTAACCTTTAAAGGGGAAGATGATATGGAGTAATATCTTGGTTGGAGTGGTTTTAGGCAGGGCAGTAGTTGCCGTGGAGACAACACAGCTGGTTTATATTCCTGAAGGACATCTCTCACTTCTCTCACTGCCACATACTCCTGCAGGGCTTTATTAGACTTCCCAGTCTGAAAGGTCAAGGTCATTGGTACAATGATGGGGACTGCATGTCATAAGCCACTAGGGGTAATCTAAACAATAGTTATGCTGTGTAGTCTATCTGAGGAATTACAAATGAATGTTTTGCCAAAATTCAGCAATATTATGATATAACGGTTTGTCACCTTTTGAGCCAAAATTAATAAATCAACTACATACTGTGTCTAGTAGTAACCATGACAACATGCCACCTATCCAAGTATATACTACATACAATACATACCATCATGCCAATAACCAGTCAACAGTTACCATAACAACATGACTCCTTCCTTGTGAAGCAATCATGACAACATATATCACATTCAAATTCCCTGTTTACAGTAACCATGACTACATCCCAATTCAAGTCATTTAGGGCCAAACAATAATGTAAAAAATATATATATATCATATTGCATAACAATAGGCTACAATCCCTATCTATAGAGACCAAGGTTACATGTTACAATCTCTGTTAAAAGAAGTTGTGACAATATTTTACAATCCCTGATTGTATACAGGGATTTACAACATGCCTCATTACCTTCCTGGTTATCAAGACAATATGCAAAATTGTGTGTCTAATATTACCCTGAACATATATCTGCTACTTAACCTTAAAAAACACACCATACATAACCATGACAACATGACACCTACCTCTTCCTGTAATAACCATGACAACATGACACCTACCTCTACCTGGAATAACCATGACAACATGATACCTGCCTCTTCCTGTAATAACTATGACAACATGACACCTACCTCTTCCTGTAATAACCATGACAACATGACACGTACCTACCTCTTCCTGTAATAAACATTGCATGACATAATATCACCTTTTGCACCTCTGCTTTAGAAATCATGACAATGTAATACCTACCCCTGTTTGTGACAACCAGATTATATCACCTATCGCTGCCTTCAGTAACCATGACAACATAATTCCCACCTCTTAAAATGGTAATCATGACAACATAATACCCATCCTTACCTATAGTAACCATGACAACATAACCTTTACCCAACTTATAGTAACCATGACAACATGAAACCAATCCCTACCTATAGTAACTATATGACAACATAACTCTGCAACCATAGAGTAACCATGCAACATGACACCTATCAGTCCATAGTAACCCTGACAAAGTAACACCTACCCCTACCTATAGTAACCATGACAACATAACACCTTCCCCTACCTATAGTAGCCATGACAACATAACATCCATATGTCCATAGTAGCCCTGACAACATAACACTTCCCCCTACATTTAGTAACCATGTCAACATAACATCTTCCCCTACCCATAGTAACCATGACAACATAACATTTCCCCCTACCTTTAGTAACCACGTCAACATAACACCTTCCCTACCTATAGAAGCCATGACAATATAACACTTCCCACTACCTTTAGTAACCACGTCAACATAACATCCATAAGGCCATAGTAACCATAACAACATAACACCTGCAACCATATAGCTATAGTAACCATGACAACATAACACCTGCAAACATATAGTAACTATGACAACACAACACCTGCAACCATATAGTAACCATTACAACATGACACCTATCAGTCCATAGTAACCCTGACTAAGTAACACCTATCCCCACCAGCTATCACGACAACATAACATCCATATGTCCATAGTAACCATAACAACATAGCACCTACCCTTCCTATCATTATCATGACAACTAAACACCTACCCCTGCCTGTAGTAGCCGTGACAACGTCTCCCTCTGGTTTGTGTTTGTGACCACAGTCTGTAAAGTCTGTAGAAGTTCTGGCTTGATGGTTTTGATGTCATAATATTTGAGCAGCAGAGTTCTTATACTTGCTGTATCTGAAAAAGAAATCATCATTTGAAAAAACAATAGAAATCTATTTGTTCTGTCGAAACATTTTGATAAAAAAAAGTTCTCCTAAATAAAATCCTTAATGTATGTTTCTTTGTATGTTTGCATTTTCCACTTTAAGATTGTGCATTGTGTTACAGAATTTTAACTAAAGAATTTTGATATAAAAATATTATTACACTGCTAATAACATAAAATCACACTGAACTCAAACCCATTAAAAAAGATTCATAAAAATTATTATTGTTATTTATAGATATTATGTAGATGGATATTTTTGATTTTCTGGTTCTATGATAATTATGACTTGGTTTACTGTAGTAGTGTATCAGTTTTACAATCGCTGAGTAGGAAAGGTTTGAAAAGTTACCATTATGTGGGTGATAGGCCCCGTTTGGTACAGGAAACATCTCCGTCTCCCGCCATGTCAATGTATCCAATATGGCTGACACATGGTCAGGATTGTTCTCTGGGTATATCCCGAGAGCATCACCTGAAGAAAAAACAGAAGACAATTTTGATATCAGTAAACATGGATCCTGCAAAAACTAGTGCATGAAGTTGTTAGAAGTACAACAGCGAAATTTATCACAAAATTGAGAGATTTTACTGTATTTTAACTGAAATTAACTACTCCATATCATACATTTTTACTAACTTCTATGTATTGACAATAACATGTATTTTTCCCATACTTGCCCGTAAAAGACAGGAATTGACCTGTGAAAAGATTAATAGAATTTTCTCCTTCCTTAAGGATGCGATAGAGAAATCTCCAACCCGAGGGGTGATGTTTTTTGGTTGTCTAACCTGCGGCTCTCTTAGACAACCAAAATACATCACCCCTCGGGTTGGAGATTTCTCTGTCACACCCTCAAGGTAGGGGATGATTGTTTTTCTCCCATCCTATTATTTCAGTCACAACTCCACTTACAGCAGTGTAAACAAAAACACATGTGGAGTATGAATATCGTCATTCACTTTTGATGACGTCACAATTACCGGTGACACATTTTATTTTAATGACGCCACAATTGAACATATACTAATCGGCACAAGGCTATCTCCCCCTAGAGGGTGACAAGCTGATCTTTCCCGGGAGACACACCTGTGAAGGGTGGGAGAAAAACCTGTCTATTTTCAGGGAAATGACGGCCTAAAAGCGCTATGACGTCACGACGTAATGAAATTATTGCCGCCAGGCAAGTCTGCCAAAATGACACTTGAAATAGTTCCATTGTTTTGACTGATAAATTTTCATTAATTTTGTACATGTGCTTATTATAAAATATATTAACTGATATATTATAGTTGTTTTTGGATTATTTAATTAAACTTTTGTTAATGTTGTGCTTTAAATGGATTTCTGAGTTTATGTTCAGGGTTCATCACCCCTATAGAATTAACATAATTGTATTCATGCGAGGCATAGAATACAAGCATGTGTCTGGTCACGGAGTATTGACACTGGCATGTTTATTTCGAGTTAGACAGAAAAGGAATCAAACATGGTTATGGTCCGTGGACAGGGAAATCTCAACCCCAGGTTAAGAGTTTGACTGTCTAGCACGAGGCTTTGTCGAGTAACATTTTTACAGTTTGGCTGTCTAGTACTCGACAAAGCCTCGTGCTAGACAGCCAAACTCTTACCCTCGGGTTGAGATTTCCCTGGACCACACCCATGTAAGTTTCTATAAATCTCTTCATAAATCTTACCAGATATATATTTCAATTTTATTTCTACTCTACTGGCAGGTGTTCAGGTTTTCTCTATGTTTAGGTTTCACTAACACTAAATTTCTCACCTGATATGTTGAAGTTTCAAGGCAGGAAAAAAGCCCACACCTGTTATGTTCAGCTTTCGTTATATGTAAAATTATCACCCGAGGTGTTTTACTTGAGGTAATTCAGCTTTCAGTGGCTCTATATTTAATTTTCCTATATGAAAGCCAACATGTATCGCTGTATATTTCTCACCTGAGGTTTTCTAATTACACTATTTATTTATTTATTTTTTACCTGAGGTTTTCTGGTTACACTATTTTTAATTTCTCACCTGAGGTGTTCTAATTACACTATTTTTAATTTCTCACCTGAGGTGTTCTAATTACACTATTTGTAGTGTTTCTCACCTGATGTCCATGTCATGTGACTACCACTGATGTTAAACTCGCAGTGGACGACCTCCTTGTCATCATTACATTGTTGGGCGTCTGTCAACAGATCCTTCACCTAAAATTTGTATGAGAATTTAATAAAGTATTTAGTCAAAAAGGTTGTTCATCATCATTGATGGTGTTGGTAGTTGCAGTGATGTTGGTCAGTGATTATCCGTCTGTTTAAAAATAAGATTTGTAAAACACTGGTGATGCAGAACATTGAAAATCATTGTACAAATATGAGATAAGATTTATGGTAGATACCTCGAGTTAAGACAGTGTGAGACCTTGATACCAAACAGAAAAAATAATATCTGAACCTGCAAGACAGCCATAAATGGATTATGTCTATCATGTCCTTCCGATGACTGGTCGGCAGTAATTTGTAAATAGTCCATACACACACAGAGGTCACATGACTTCAGATATTCTACAACACTGTCCATCCAGCAGTTGATGACAGCCCAGTCCTCCACGTCTACATCCTGGCACCCTACAACTGGGTCAGCTCGACGTTTGGAAAGTCTGGAGAAAAGCGTAAGAAACAGCAAAATAAGAATGCAAAACATTATCCAAAGATCACGATTTTATTGTAATCATTGCTCTTCAATCTGATTCTTGAAGTCTAAAATTCCTCCATCTTGGTTCTTTATCTGGTTGCTCTCCATCAATTGTGATGTGTTAATGTTGTAGTGGAACTGGACTGGGCAGATTGTCGGCCACCAGATAGCTCAATCGGTAGAGTGTCCGTCTAGAGTTCTGAGTGTCCCGGGTTTGAACCCCGGTCTGGTCGTTACATTTTCTCTTTCTCTTAGATTGTTACAATATATTAAATTGGTTAGTCTATGCAGATGTCACTATAAAATCCAAATAGGTCCTATGAGTCTATATGCAAAATATAAGACATGAGTGTATTTACTTTATAAAACGGTACTCATGTGGAAAATCAAATTATCAGATAGTCCTTCAGAGAGAAACATGCAGTTTTCAGGCCATGTATTACAAGGTTTTTGTTTCACTCAGTGACACAAGATATTGTATTACCCTTGTAGCCCGAACTATTTTATGTCAGTAACTCACAATTTACATACAATTTATGGAGTTATGTCCCTTTGACACACATTTGAATTCTTCCAATTCAAACATTGGTATAGTTCATTACAAGATTTCAGGGGTAAATGAGTTAAATAATTTTTCTATTGAACCCTAGTGTTACACTAACATCATTAAATTCTATAATCGTCTTCACCGGTCTCACCTTGTATTTACGTCACGTCCTGTCTTACAGAAATGTGGATAGTTGGAGTCACCCAGAGCCAGAACAGAAAACCGAAGGTGAGATAACTCCTCATCACATGACATCAGGTTGTCATAGAAACCACGTGCATCAGTGGGAGGGACGCCTAAACAATACAGTGGTTCAGATCAGCATAAATTAACTTTTTTTTAAACTTTATGATATTTAGAGCTCTCTGTATCAGCCCAAGACTCCCATATCAGCCCACAGCGCTGGGTGGAGGGCTGATACAGAGTAGGGTATGGAAATGGTCATATGGTAACCTTTTTATAATATATAGCTCTATAGCATCAAAAGTATTAGCAATAACACATATAACACACAGAAAATTCATATTTCATGAGCTTAACTATAATCATCATACATTAAATAAAACACAATGAACTGAATAGCAAATACAGATGGATATGCAGTGTGTACACTACCAGTTTGAGGTGCCATTTGTCTGAAAAGTGGTGAACTGGAAGTTAAAAGGATATGGCACTTGCTGGGTAGATATGGCGCATGCCGCTTAGATATGGCGCGTGCTGGGTAGATATAGTGCATGCCGCTTAGATATGCCACTTGCTGGGTAGATATAGCGCATGCCGCTTAGATATGGCACTTCCTGCATGGGTAGATATAGCGCATGCCGCTTAGATATGGTGCGTGCTGGGTAGATATAGCACATGCCGCTTAGATATGGCACTTGCTGGGTAGATATAGCACATGCCGCTTAGATATGGTGCGTGCTGGGTAGATAAAGCGCATGCCGCTTAGATATGGCACTTGCTGGGTAGATATAGTGCATGCCGCTTAGATATGGTGCGTGCTGGGGAGATATAGCACATGCCGCTTAGATATGGCACTTGCTGGGTAGATAAAGAGCATGCCGCTTAGATATGCCACTTGCTGGGTAGATATAGCGCATTCCGCTTAGATATGGTGCGTGCTGGGTAGATATAGCGCATGCTGCTTAGATATGGCACTTGCTGGGTAGATATAGCACATGCCGCTTAGATATGGTGCGTGCTGGGGAGATATAGCGCATGCCGCTTAGATATGGCGCTTGCTGGGTAGATATAGCGCATGCCGCTTAGATATGGCACATGCTGGGTAGATATAGCGCATGCCGCTTACATATGGTACTTGCTGGGTAGATATAGCGCATGCCGCTTAGATATATGGCACTTGCTGGGTAGATAAAGCGCATGCTGCTTAGATATGGCACTTGCTGGGTAGATATAGTGCATGCCACTTAGATATGGCGTGTGCTGGGTAGATATAGCGCATGCCGTTTAGATATATGGCACGTGCTGGGTAGATAATGCGCATGCCGGGTAGATATGGCACGTGTTGGGTAGATATGGGTTGGTCCAGGATACCTGACCTATACACAATAAGCAGTATCACACAATAATGCAAAATAACCCATTTTACGTAAAAGTATATCATAACAATAATTAATACATACCCAGGCTGTTTATACTGTGCACTAACACAATCATAAAGAATTATTTTTCAATATAAAGCATCTGTTATATCACCCTGTGTGAGTACAGAACCCAACTTCACAAATCCACATCAATGTCAATTTAAGCAGGGGTGGTTTTCTTTTCCATTCTAAATAAATCAAACATGCTTCGCACTTGCCAACTCCGATTTTGGACTATTTATATTGAATATTTTTAACTAGTGAATTTCCTGAACTATTCTTACTTTCTAAGATCTGATGATGTCATCTGTAAGAACAGCTCAAAAGGTACCATTTAAAAATTTTATTTTTCCCTAATGTGTACTTGCACACATTTTATCTAAATATTTTAATTCTGAAAATGCGTAATCTTCCAAATGGAAATTTTAAAAAGATGACAAGCATGAATTGCTTTGGTTCAAAAATATATAATATCATATATGTTCATTATGCCTGAGGATACTAATGTTAAATACTTCAAAATTAAATTGATTTATCTAAGCACTAATCTTTTTTATATTATTGAGTACCTCAGCCTAGCTGAGCATGACTGTCAGAGTTAAAATTATCTCCCTTATTAAACTTTCTCTTTCTATCTCAGAATTTATGGTAAGAACAACCATATTTTATCAAAACAAATTTAAACAAAGTTTTTGTATCTAGCTTTTCTCTATTTTCCCACCCACCCATTCCACATCCACAAGCTGTATGTACTTAGAACTTGTTAACTGTTGGAATTTTATTGTATAATTTCAGTTTTCAACATTGGCTGTAACGGATTGATTGTGGTCTCACTGAGGAAAAGCCCTATATGTGTGCAGAAGTGTAGTAAGATGGGTGTTTGTCTAACCATCCTACACAACAAGTAACCACTCTGCTGGGCTAATAAATGTTATTGCAAGAACACAGCTGGGTCAAGGGGACATAACCCTTTAACCCAGTATAATCCCTTTGAACATAAGAACAATACCGGTAATTATATAAATGATAATACTACATTAGAGACATACATGTGCAATGCATAATTATCAACCACCAATTCAATAATGCTACTGGGAGAGGTGGGAGGGAAACAGATGAATTGCCATTGCTCAGTCTTGCTAACGCGCCATGTGCTCTATGCATAAACTGTGATGTCACCACAAACTGTGTGGCACTAAATCTGCAGTCACCACTAGGGCTGTACTTAATAAGTTACAAAACCGAACAGTACACCAGTTACGGATTACGACAAACCTGGTATTCACTTAATACTACATCTTTGTCATGGTCCTGAGTATTTTCCAGATGTGGTTTGCGGTCTTTTGAGGCAACACCAGTACAGCTTCAGTGCCAATTTTTATCATATGGACCAGTTGTCATTTAATGAACAGTTTCAATTGAACTAAGTATGTGAAGTTACAAATTGTATTTGCAATTTAATAGCATAATTAATTTGAAGTGTACAGCTGTTCCAAGTTTTCACTTGAATTTCAAATATTTTAATGGGACCATGGCCAGTCATATATAAGTAATTAGTAAAAGTGGGGAAAATGAGGTGTACATCTGTCCCCAGTGTTCACTTATTAATTTATCCTTCATATCTCAATTGTCCTAAGTTTTTCAATTTTGCACAAGTTTGATCAAGTTGATCAGCAGTTGTCTCAGTTTGGTTTGCCCTATGACTCTAATTTCGAGTCGGTAACCACATCTGTATGAAGCTGTGGCCATATAATCACCAAATCTTAAAAAATGAAAATATCATAGTAGCTAATTTGGTGTTTGCGTTTTTTGTGTCTTTGATAACTCTATATATTGTTTGATTCCGATCCCAATACAAAATGTATAACCTTTACTACCGGTATATATACAATCATAGATGGAACATTCAGAAACTGGTTTAGTAAGCTCCATAATGTAGTGTAAATACATAGCCTAGAAATAGGCTGCCGTCACATACCATCTCCACTTGTAGATATGACAACAAAACATATCTGTTCCCTGGACAACTCCACACACTCGTAAAGTTTACAGTTGACCAGCCGAGGTTGTAGAGGACCAACATCATCTGACTGTACGATAGAGGAAATCCTGTGGATCCAGAACAGATAATAATTTAGAAACAAGATTTTGTTTTACTAAAAGCATAAAAATGTATTTTTAACCAATTAAGTGAAAATTGTTTGATTTGAAACAAGGCAAAGTATTGCAAGGCAATCCATAGTCCTTCACAGGTAATGATTTCTATATTAAACAAACAATACACTTTATGTCAGGATGTACCTACTGTTCAAAGCATAGGTCACAATGAGGTCATAGTGACCTCATACATGCCATAACTTTCCGGTGCAAGAAATAGGTCAGACCTACTTCTTGTACCACCATCCCAAGATGTCCATGTACACCAAATCTGGTTACTCAAGGTGAAATATAGTATAGAAGATATGCCCCGGACAAACTTTTTCAAAAGTTAAGGTCAAGGTCAAGTCATAGGTCACAGTGACCTAATTCTTGCACTCTGACTCTGCACTCCGCAATCCCGAGATGTCCTTGTACACCAAATCTGGTTACTCCAGGTGAAACAGTATAGAAGATAAGCCCCGGACAAACATCTTGGACCGACAGACGGAGTGCAAAAAGTCACCGGGAACCGGTGGGGGACTAAAAATAAAGGGTAGAGTCAGTGTGTCTTGGTATTAAATTTGGAGAAATGCTATCATAGGTCCAACAAACTTTGATACATTAACTCCGAGGCATATGCAAGCCTGCAGGCTGGTCCCAGTTCATCTAATGTTGTAGGATTAACTAATAATGACTTACTTATCAAACAATACAGTAGCTACTTCTTCACTGAATCCATATTCTGTCCCATACAAGATCAACACTTGTTTTCCTTCCGTACCATACGACCGCAAGTGACGGTTATCCATAGATTGGTCCACATTCTCTTTCTTGGATTTTGAACCTGAAAATATAATTAATTGTGATTTTTAAAGATAAATTATAAATGAAGCAGGCAACCATTACAGAAGAGCTGGATTAATTTGACATAAATAAATGTTTTATTTGCTGCAGTTTATTAAATAAGCATTCTAAATTAATCAAATTACAAAAACTCACAACTAAGTTCAGGGGAATTTATATATAATACTGCACATGGCAAAAATACACACTAAGTATCTCATACTTAATGTTTAAGCTACAAGAATGTGACTGCCACATTTTCAATTGTCAGTTTGATAAACTGTTGTTCCTAAACATTAACAATATCAATTAAACATCAAACACATTTCCAAACAGAAATTTAAAGAGGCATACATTTTGCACACTCAAGGAAAAGCACCCCTACATGAATGATTATAAAAGAGAAGAAGATCTGTACATAAAATTACATTAGTTACAACGTACCTTCCTGTATGATGAATGCGTCTATGCTGTTGTCGGAGAAATCGCTGCCAGAGCTTGATACCAGTGTGTAGACAACAAATCCCACAATCCCCACCAAAGACGACAGGATCCACATCCATATTCCATCCAGTAACCATGGCAACATCATCCACATGCGACTGTTCTTGCATTCTTATTCTAAATCAAAGACAAAATTGCTTCTTTTAATTTTTTATTTTTTTTAATCATGCTTATCAATTTATAATTGGAAGGAATCAGACTTTCATATTTGTGAATTTTTACCTTAATTATCTCTGAGACTGTGCTGTCAAATAGTTTAACAGTCATACAAAGATTGAATTTTCCAGTTTCTACAGTCCATGATGGGTATTTCGAATTTTTATCAGATATAATATAAGTATCAGACTTGCTGTATGAAAGTATCCTGCATATTAAATCATATTAAGCAGTATTTTGAAATACAGGTGCATGACAGTCTATTTTAACCTGAACAATTATTAATCTTCAATAAATGACATTAATTATAAAAAGTAGTAATTGAACAGTTGAAAGGGCACAGTTGCTGCTGATTGCCATTTAACAACTAAAAATTACAGGCAGGAATAAATATCTCTGTTTCTGCCGATTATTTAAACCTGCTTGAATTAACTTAATTTGTAACACATGGACATTTTCTTTGTGGATATATGGATCACAGTTACGTACACCTCTCGTTTCATTTGCCACCTCACTTACTGTCAACTTTTTCCAGTACATGTTCTCTTTTCCTTTTTTCCTTAACACCTATTTTTAGCGTATATTGCTAAACCCTTTATGATGTCAAAATGTTATCAGATGGTGGCTGTACAGACCTGCTGCATTACAATTAAGCAGACAATCATGGCCTGTCCAGTTGCTGTAATTATTCTCTGGTTATTCGATCCACTTAAGGGCCATCTTCGTTTAAACAGTTGTACGTGCCAGTCGGACCAGTCGTTCGTTTAATAAATAAGGTCGGACCTAGTATTCTTGCATACTAGAACGATCGAGATATTCGCATTTCCGGCGGTGCTGGAAAATTCTTTCCGACCTTCGGGTCTGGCCTTTCGTGGTCATATTATCCAGTTATAAACTGGATATAGAATCGATCTCTGATGTTAAGTATGAATAGGGTCATTCAAACCATCAGAATAAATTATTGAGCAGAAACCTTTGGCAAAGCCTTGGGTCTCCTGCTCAATATTTTAACCCTTGACTTAGAATTACCTTATCCATACCTAACATCAGCCTGATGATCTGGGATGGTTTCTATCATTCTGATGCTGCTTTCAGGCAAGCCTTGACAAACTTAAAGCCTTGTAAGGCCTGTATAAACATTTGAAAGTTCCCTTACCTACAAATTACGCAGTTGTTCCGCGAGTGTGGAAAAAATGCGGAAAATGTGTGGATTTTTTATTTTTACGCATGTTTTACGCAAATGCGGAAACGGTGGTGTGGAAAATGTGTGTAAAATATGCGGAAATTTGACTTAGTCATTTTCAAATGCGGAAAATATGTGGATTTTTTATTTTTGTGCATATTTTACGCAAATGCGGAAATCATGATGTGGAAAATGTGTGGAAAATATGCGGAAATTTGACTTAGTCATTTTTAAATGCAATTTTGGACTTAGAATAATTTCAAGGTGTAACATTCTGGACTTAGAA